TCCAGGCTGGAGTGCAGTGGTGTGATCACAGCTCACTGCAGCCTCAACCTCCTGGGCTCAAGTGATCCTCCCACATCAGCCTCCCAAGTAGCTGGGACTATGAGCATGCACCACCATGCACAGCTAATAGATTTTTATTGTATTTGTAAAGACAGGGTCTCCCTACACTGCCCAGCTGGTCTCAAATTCATGAGCTCAAGTGATCCTCCTACTTCAGCCTCCCAAAGTGCTGGGATTATAGGCATGACCCAATGTGCCTGGCCAAAGCAGGCCTTTGAGATGAAGACCGAACTCCCGAGCCTGGTATTGAAGGCCTTCAAAAGTTTGACTCCCCTCATTATGGCCAACACCAACACAGTGACTACATTGGCTACACACTGATCTAAAGCTTTACTATGCTAACTCATTTAATCTTCACAATAAGTGAATGAGGTTTGATGACGATGATGATTCTCCCTATAGAGATGAGGATGGTAATATCCAGAGTTCCCAAGATGCACCAAGCTAGGAGGAAGCCCAGGTCTGGGACCCCTAGGACAGCTTCTCTAGTAACAAATGGCCCTGAAATCCCAGCAGCAGCACAAAACCTCAGTTCTTTCTCACTCACACCCCATGAGCACAGTGGGCCGGGACTCAGCTTGGCTCCTCATGGTTACTTGGGGCCCTGAGGACCAAGGCTGCGCTCCTCAGGCCCACACTCAAAGAGAGCATGTGGCCCCTTAGGGCGGCAGGAAATATGCAGCTGGAGGGGCCTGGGGTTTTTCTCCACCTCAGCCGGGTGTCACCAGGTCCCTCCTGCCCTCAGCCCATTGGCCAGCACCAGTCACATGACTCTGCCCATCAGCAGGGGGGCGGGACATATGTGGACAGAGGGAAGGTCAGGTGGGCCACACCTCCACCCATCCTCCTGTTTAGACCACACGGAGGAGTCTTAGAGGGTCTTTAATTTATGATCCTGTTTCTGAGATGAACACAAAGACCTCTTGGACACCAGGGACCAGAGGACAGAGTGTGTTTGAGCAGCCTTGTGATCGAGATTGTTTTTCATGCCTTTGATTTAACTTGCATGGCACCCACCCAGGGGGCAAATGCACCCAGGAAAGCCCCTGCTGAATCCACTGAAAATGGGGAACCCACACCCCAGGGGAAGCTCAGAGCCTGCTTCATGGCTGGCAGCCAAATGCACACGGAGCCTCTGGTCAGTGTTACAAGGAAGGTTTTCACTTCACAGAAAACTCTCTTCTCTGGACTTGAGAAACAACCACAGTGATGGCTCGTGGTGGATCTCAGCACCGTGAAACCCAGGAAAGGGGAAGCTTCCAAAACCAGGGAGCGGGGGAGCAACTGGAGGCGCAACATCCGCACCTGCTGCAGAGCAAAGGGCCGCACATCCCAGGGGTGGAATGCGGGGCTTCCTTCCCAGGTGACTGCAGTTTGGCCGCAGTGGCTCAGATCTCAGCGGGGCTGGCTCAGGGTTCTGAGGGCCCGACGGGTGTCAGCTGACCTTGCGCCACTCAGATGAAGAGTGCCCGCAGCTGCAGTGGGGCCGGCTCTGCTCCCGCACTGCGTGTCCTCCCTGACCCCGGAGGCAGCCAGGCAGGTCCTTCCGTGCTGATGGCAGAGTCACAGGGAGTGAGCCTCAGGGAGGAGCTCCCTGGAACCCGGGCAGCGCCTGTCCACCAGTGTTTCACTAGACAAGGCAGGTGACATGGCTAGGCCCAGGGCTGAGGATTAGAGCAGGATATTCCACACCCGGAGAACGGGCCCAGGAAGAGAAAGAACATTGCAAGAAAATCATCTCATCTCCCCTAGAACACAGCAGGGTGTGGGCCTGGGGCTGCCAGGGCCATGGGCCGCCCCTCCCAGCACTCACAGCTGCACACCTGCCTGTGTCCTCGGCTGGACTTGGAAGCTCCACCCCCGCAGCCCCAGCAGGGAGCATACCCGATGATGCCTGTGTGCCTGGACCCGCTGCTGCCAAGACCTCCCAAGGCGACCACAACACGTGCCCAGCATTTGTGTCCATTCCTTGCCCCACGCTGCAGGGCCTGCCTCCTGGGGGCATCCGAGCCTCCGAGTCCCATGCTGCTCACGACGCTGAGAACGCTCCTGATCAGGAACGGACCCTACCCGCACGCCCGGTGCTTCACCAGCTCAATCAGGCCATCACCTGACGATGGCTTCGAGGTGTGCCCTGCCTTCTGAACATAAAAGCCGGTTAAAATCCCATCGCCCATTGTGAGCAAACGCCATGTGCATGGCTGCTCAGGAGGAGTCTGTAGGGAGAGAATCTTTCTCCTTAATCTTCCGGTAAGAGACTTATTTTCCCCACTGCAGTCGTGAGACACCCATAAGCAGTGATGCAGTGTTCCTGATGAGCTGTGAATTATCTCGTGTCTAAAAAGTGCCTCAGCCCACAGCAGCCTGCTGCCTTCAGAGGATGCCCTAGAGAACGGTCTCCCCAGCTGCTGGCAGGAGTCCTGTTCCAGTGCGGTGAGGAGCCAGGAACGGTCTCCCCAGCTGCTGGCAGGAGTCCTGTTCCAGTGCGGTGAGGAGCCAGGAATGGTCTCCCCAGCTGCTGGCAGGAGTCCTGTTCCAGTGCGGTGAGGAGCCAGGGACGTGGACACGGGAAGCCTGAGGGATTCTGCACCGTCCCTATCCCTTTCTGCTGGCCAGAGCCACTCCCAGGCTCAAGCCCGAAGCCAAGGGCAGAGAGTGGGGGCTCCGCAAGAGGAGTGAAGCCCTGGGGCCACGAGCTGGGTCTATCGCAGCCCCACAGAGGGTTATTTACAGGTGGGGGCGAGAGAGGAGCTGAGACGTCCCCGAGGGGCCCCAGGGAGAAACAGGCCCTGCGAGGTGACTCCAAGTCAACCTCTTAGGAGGACACCATCTCCCAGGATCCCGGAGGCAGCCACACGTTTCTGAACAGGGCCAGACGGAGAGTAGAAAATATGAGGAGTTCATGAGACTAGAACTGTTTTCAAAGATACAGAAAAAGGAGGGATTAACTCCAGGACCCTCTCCCTATTAGAATTCCTGAAGGAAACGCATAAAGAAGATAATTTGCTGAGAAGTAGTTTGAAATACAGTAAGTTACGGTGAGAAAGAAAATGATGTATGTGGTACAATATTAAATAATTATTAAATAATAATATCGACAGAGGAAATAAAACCAAACCCAGCTAGAAGACTGTATGTTAACAGCCTGTCAGCCAGAGGGCAATAGTTGAAATTAATAATCATAATTCAGAAAGAAGGCAGAGATGGTTATTAATGAAAGTGTAATGAACTAAATGCACTTGTCAAAAGGTAAGCAACAAGAGATGCAGAATGTCCATCCTAAAAACCAGTAGGGGAAGGAAAATAATGAAAAAAATTCTGAAGAAGACAAGTCCATGCTGTGCTATATTGTCTGAGAAAACACACACATCTCCGTGTTTCTGTGTGTGTTTAACATCTCTCTGGAGGTTCACAAAAGACAGCGTTGTCCACGGAGGGAACGTGGAGATTCCTATCTAAGTGGTAGTTGTTAGAGAAAGAGGACATTCATTTAAAATCACAGCATATTCTTCCTGGTGAAAATTAATTTTAAAACTCATCATTTAAGAGAATGGAAAAGTGTGGCTGTAAACTGGAGGAGAACTAGACATGCCAGGAGAGAATGTGGGCTTAGGGAGGAGTTCCCTTGAGACGGGCACTCCTGGGCACATCCCGAGGAGATGGGACACTGCCAGGACAGAGGAGGAGGAGGAGTCAGGAGAGGAGACAGTGGTGCAGGGGAGGCAGGACGGGGCCAGCGGTGCTGCCAGGGCCTGCTCCTGCTCTCCCAGAGCTCCTGCTGTGCCTGTGGTCACACTTTTCCATACCTCCCTGAAGCCAGACGGCCTGGGCTCTAGATAGGCGAAGGCCCCCGAGTGGTGTAGCCACGCCAAAACTTAGGAAGGAACCTGCCCAAGCATCAAAGGGAAATGAGGTCACGGTGAACTCATTGTCACCTCGGGGCTTGAACAGAGGAGAGTGTCTGTCCTGGGATGGAGGACGTGGGTGGAGCGGGACCACGGAGCGTGGCACCTGCAGTGTCAGCGCGACCTGGGCAGGAACCCTCTGGGGAACATTCTGGCCGTCAGTGCACATCTGGGGCCAGCTCTCCCCTCCTGCTATTTGATCCAGGGCAGAAACTCATCACACCCAAGCCCAGAGGCCGTGAAAATATCACAGAGGCCCCGAGGAAATTGATCGAAACCGGACTCATTTCCACAGTTCAGTAGAGTGAGCTCGTCACTGCTCCTGACCTGCTGCTGGGGCCTCCTGGGTGCTTCAGGCTGGAGCAAGGAGCATGCGAGGCTCTGGAGGCTCTAGAGGGGGAAGGAGCGACCCAGAGCCCAGGGAAGCAGGAGCAGCGTGAACAGTGACTTGGGGGCTATTTGTTGGGTGCCCTGCAGACTTGGCTCTGTGGGGAAACAAGCCCCAGAGATGCCCAGGTCCTGGTCCATGTCAAACACACACTGTGTGTGTAAGTGGGAATCGGCGGGGACATGCTAGGCTGCCCTGCGGTAACAAACATCCCCGATCCCAGCTGCTCACGAAGGGAAAGGCTCGTACCCCGCTCACGCTCCTCGTCCATTATCCCCTGACTGGGCGTCTCCCCCTCGCCATCTGCACTTCATGTGCTCAGAGGGAAGAAGAATGTGACGAATAACTCATGAAGTACTAAAGCTTCTGCCCAGAAGCGACGCCCCTCACTTCCTCTCCAGTTTTGTGGACAAAGGGGACCACAGGGCCCAGCCTGATGTCAGTGGTGGGGAAGGTCCTCTGACCACGGAGGGGCTGTGAGTGTTTATGAGCAGCCGTGCTGTGGGCTGTGCCAAGCGTTGTCTCTTCCCTCTCCCTGGTGAGCGCAGGCCAGCGCATCTCTGGTGAGCTGTCCCTTCCTGCTCTCAGTCCTGTCTTTTGGAAAAGGCTCCAGAAGGCCTCAGACAAGACCACGTGACTTCCCCAGGCCTAAGTCAATCAGGGCATTTATTCCACCAGCCACTGTGATTGGCTCAGGGATGGACACGTGACCCAATCCGACCCAGTGGGATCCAATGAGATGATTGCAGGGAATGCTGGGGCCTAGGCAGGTGGCTTCCCAGTGGACTTGAAGCTGAGCAATGTGAGGTCTGGAGCTGCTGCAGCCATTTTGCATCCATGAAGGAGGAGCCTGTCAGAGAAAGGAGTCAACGTGAAAGAACCTAGGAGACAGTGGTGTGGGGAGAGAGGCATCGGGCCCTGATGGCGCCACGGAGCCTGAATCCAGTCTTGCAGGAGCCAGCTCTAGCCCTGGACTGTGCAGGAGCTTCAATCCAAAATCCTGTTGTTAAAGTTGGCTTTTCTGTCACTTGTATCCCAACGAGTTCCAGCTGCTCAGAGCACTTAGGGCCCTGTCTGGCCTTCCTCACGACACAAGGCAGGGACGGGGAAGGGTCCTCTGACACGGGGTGACCTCCTCCCAGGCTGGGGCCATGGACTAGTATGAGAGTTCGGGGCTCAACCCTGGATTCTGATGGCCTGGGGTGAAGTCCGGCCTCTCCTCTTGCTCACTGTGCAACGTCCACCTCTCTTTATCTATGTTCCATTCAGAAACAGAACAGAACACACCTCGTAGGGCTGCTGTGAAAATGCAGGGGATTAGACGAGTAAATTCCTGGTGCCTGTAAGGGGTCAAGTAATGTCGGCCGGGCTGTCCCTATGTCCCCAGTACCCAGCCCAGTGTCTGGAGTGGGAGGGCCTCAGGGCATGTGTGACAAGGGTGTGGGGTGAGATCACATATGGGCTGTAAACCCTCAATGAGGAAGAGGATCCCAGAGGACAAGGGAGCAAGGGTCTCCTGGATGGTGTAGGTCAGGGGCTGATATCAAGGAACAGTGGGATGAAGATGGAAAGGGAGGTGGGGAACAGAGCATTGTCCCACTGACCAGCCATGAGGACAGGTGGGAGGGGCTGGCCAGAGTCACAGGTGAGGATTCCCTATCACGAAGCATGTGTACAAGGACCACGGTGGCATGATATGGCATGATGTGTTATGACATATTACCCAGTCGGGGAAGCTCATTGTGAAATATCATGGACTGCCTTCTCCCCTATTTGGTGAAAAAATTATTTGCATATCATTTCATTACATTAAGACTGGAAGGAGAGCTATCAAAGTACTACTAGTGAAAATGAGTGGCCAGACTTTTTCTTCTCTTATTTTAGGCAAAAAGTTATCTAGTTTTAATTTCACCCTATCTGAACATATTCCCTTTGTAAATCTCTGAATAGTGCATATATATTTTAAAAAACAGGGCTGGGCATCAGGGCTCACGCCTGTAATCCCAACAGTTTTTGAGGCCAAAGCAGGATGATCTCTTGAGTCCAGGAGTTTGAGACCAGCCTGGGCAACACAGAGAGACCTCATCTCTAATAAAAATCAAAAACATTAGCCAGGCATGGCAGTGTCTGTAGTCCCAGCTATGTGGGAGGCTGAGGGGGAAGGACTGCTTCAGCCCAAAGGGTCAAGGCTGCGGGGTGCTAGGATGCAGCCACTGCATTCCAGCCTGGGTGACAGAGTGAAACCCTATCTCAATAAAAAAAATTTAAAATAAATTAAATAAAATTTAAAAACAAGTGAATGAACACACAATGAAAAATTACTCACTTTCTCAAAGAAATCAATGACATATAGAAAAGACATTTGGGAGGCCAAGACGGGTGGATCACCTGAGGTCAGGCTTGCCAACATGGTGAAACCCTGTCTCTACTAAAAATACAAAACTTAGCCAGACGTGGTGGCAGGCGCCTATAATCCCAGCTACTTAGGAGGCTGAGGCGGGAGAATCGCTTGAACTGGGAGGCGGAGGTTGCAGTGAGCTAAAACCACATCACTGCACTACAGCCTGGGTGACAGAGTGAGACTCCGTCTCAAAAAAGTAAAAATAAAAAAGTTAAAAAAAAAAAAGCCATTTAGTAAAAGAAAGGAAGGGGTGACTGTGATGATGATGACGACGATGGTAATGGTGGTGGTGGTGGTGATGGTAATGGTGGTGATGGTAATGGTGGTGATGATGGTAATGGTGATGGTAACAGTGGTGGTGATGGTAACGGTGGTGGTGATGGTAATGGTGGTGATTATGGTAACGGTGGTGATGGTAACGGTGGTGGTGATGGTAACGGTGATGATAGTAATGGTGGTGGTAATGGTGGTGGTGATGGTAATGGTGGTGCTGATGATAACGGTGGTGGTGATGGTAACGGTGATGATGGTAATGGTGGTGGTGATGGTAATGGTGGTAGTGATAGTAATGGTGGTGGTGATGGTAATGGTGGTGCTGATGATAACGGTGGTGGTGATGGTAACGGTGATGATGGTAATGGTGGTGGTGATGGTAATGGTGGTAGTGATAGTAATGGTGGTGGTGATGGTAATGGTGGTGCTGATGATAACGGTGGTGGTGATGGTAACGGTGATGATGGTAATGGTGGTGGTGATGGTAACGGTGGTGGTGATGGTAATGGTGGTGATGGTAACGGTGGTGGTGGTGGTGACGGTAATGGTGGTAGTGGTAATGGTGGTGGTGGTGGTAATGGTGGTGATGGTAATGGTGGTGGTGATGGTAATGGTGGTGGTGACGGTAGTGGTGGTGGTGACGGTAGTGGTGGTGGCAATGATAGTGGTGGTGGTGACGGTAATGGTGGTGGTGGTGGTGGTAATGGTGGTGGTGATGACGGTGGTGTTGATGGTAATGGTGATGATGGTAACGGTGGTGGTGACGGTAACGGTGGTGTTGATGGTAACGGTGGTGTTGACGGTAATGGTGGTGGTGGTAATGGTGGTGGTGATGCTAATGGTGGTGGTGATGGTAATGGTGGTGATGGTAATGGTGGTGGTGATGGTAATGGTGGTGATGGCAATGGTGGTGATGATGGTAATGGTGGTGACAGTAATGGTGGTGGTGATGGTAATGGTGATGATGGTAACGGTAGTGATGATGGTAACCATGGTGGTGATGGTAACGGCAGTGGTGATGGTAATGGCGGTGGTGATGGTAATAGTGGTGGTGATAGTGGCGGTGATGGTAACGGTGGTGATGATGGTAACCTTGATGGTGATGGTAACTGTGGTGGTGATGGTAGTTGTGGTGGTGATGGTAGTTGTGGTGGTGATGGTAATGGTGGTGGTGATAGTAATGGTGATGATGGTAATGGTGGTGGTGATGGTAATGGTGGTGATGGTAATGGTGGTGATGATGGTAGTGGTGGTGATGATGGTAGTGGTGGTGGTGATGGTAATGGTGGTGATGATGGTAATGGTGATAGTGATGATGATGGTGATGTTAATAGTGATGAAGGAGATCTTGATAATGACAAAGATAATGATAATGATGATGGTAAATAATATAATGATAATGAAGAAAATGACAATATAACAGTGACCATGACAATGACAATGTTGGGGATGATGGTGATAATGAGGATGATGATAATGATAATATTGGGGAATAACTAGGAGGTCAGAATAAAATGCTTGAACTCCTCCCCCTTTGCCTTCCAGACCTCCGTCCTCAACTCTATTCCCATCTATATCCTTTCATTTCCCTGAGGCAACAAAAAACGGGGCATGGGCTCGGCACCCACGTCCCATCCATGAACTCAGGCAACCTGCTCGCAAGCTAGAACCGATGCTGTACTGAGGCCTTACATGGTTGTGGAAAGAGGCACAGGCTCTGGTTAAATCAGACGTGGGTATGGCTGCAGGCCTCACTATCAGGAGCTGAGCCTAGCCCCCGCCTCTGTAGAATGGGGATAAGATAATCATCACACCTTGCCACAGGATTACCTTAAATACGCATCAGAGGATACACAAAACACAGAGTCAGCATCTGACGCACGTGCACACACACACACCCCCCAGAGAAATAAACGGTGCTCGCATGGCCTTCCCTCTCCTCCGCCTGTAGTTCTTCCATCATGAATGTCAGTAGGAAGCCACTGCAGATCCTGGAGCAGGGGCTGTGCATGCTGCATCTTGTACATGTATTCCCTTCTCCCCTGCCCTGTAGAAAAGCACCCTTGACTTTCACCCTCCCAGGACAGGGCAACAGCGCCCACTGCCTGCACGACCAGGACCTGAGGAACTGACCACCCTCTGAGGATAGCTCCTCCCTTCTGAAGCCAGGGATACGTCCCCATTAACCACAGGGAGGGTGTTCTCTGCTACAGGCAGGGAGGGGACTGTTTATAGACTGAGAGTTCCTGCTAGTTTATGTCATCAACAAAATGCTGCAATTACACAAAGCTATAATAAAGAAGCTCTTAACCTTATTGTGTTGGAAAATTTTTCCAGCGATCTACTGAGGAGACGCGATAAAATCATACACTCTCTGCCACTCATGTGACAAACATCACACTAGGTAAGAGACATTCTGCCTTCAGGGAAATGGACACTATTTTATTTCTATTTTTAAAATAATTTTAATTAACAGAGATGCATGAACACATTCCTAGTCCACCATCTTGGGAAACTAATTTTCAGTTGCACACCCGTGTAAGAACATTTTCTCCTCTAAAGCTAACCCGTAACTCCTCCAATCTAACCACACCTCACAAAACCCCTGTAACCTGTGGCCTCTGTGGCGAACCTCTGCCACCCTGTGTGGTGTTCTTACAAACACACTGATGCATGCACAGAAGCACATGGCGCATCTGACAACACAACCAAGATCTATCTGCTGACATTTTTCAACCCAACAAGGCCTCACTGGCGATGCTCTGGCTGTGATATTGGGCTGCAGTTTTGCCAGAAGTTACTACTGGGGAAACTGGGTGAAAGCTGCAAAAGGTCCTGTATTACTTCTTACAACAGCACGTGAATCTACAATTTTCTCAAAATCAAAGTTTGAATTGAATATATGTAATACTTCATTGTTTACACACATGTACTTGACTTGCCTGAAATGTATGCTTGGTTCATTGGGCCTGTGAGTCAGGCACAATCAAAACCCTGCATTCCCCTGACCACTTACAGGAACACAGATGGATGTGTGATCCAAACCAGACCTTTGGGAGACAAGGAAGCTAAAATTTGAAACTCAGAGGAGGTTTTGAAAGACTGGAGAAATTAAGCACCTCCCCTTCCAGCAGCGTTCCTGGGAGGCTGAGACACAAGCCTCACGATCCCTAGAA